TAATTTTGAGATAATTTTCTTCATAATTTTTAAGAAATAAAGTAGATAAACAGTATTTTCATATATGTATATATATATATATATATTTTACCAGTAACCTTTTTGGTTTCAAATTCGGGCCTTGCCACTAGATTCTTAGACATGGCAATAGTATCACCAAAGGAGTATTTGTCCTGAAAAATGTCTTACTGGACCATATGGCTATATATGTACAATTGCGATTTGCAAATATTATTTGAAAAAAAATGGTCTTCTTCAAAGCTTGAAATGAAAAACTAGTTAGGAACAAAAGAAGAAAACAATTTACAGCTATCTACAGCTTATGATGGCTACTTGGGCGGCCCCTTTTCCAACAAAAGTCGCTCGTGTTCCCATCCTAGACCATGACTCCATGACAACGAAACCTTACCCTTTTGGCCCTTTTTAAGTCCTCTTTTTATCTTTGTTCTCTTCTTGTGGAGTTTGTCAATCCTCCTTGCTTTCCAGCTCCATAACATTGCAAACGTCAGTACAAGATTTTGCAGATTGTGAGAAAATTTTCCAATTTCCGGATACGACAGGCTATTGACTTTGATATTGACTATATATAATATCTGGTATAATATGACATATGTTAACAAATTAATAAATATATATCAATTTATGCATGATCTTCAAAAATTAAAGAGTCAAATATAAAAATGTCATTACGTTTTTTAACTAATATTGTACAAAAAGATACTGTATGTCTACCAATTTTTTTTTTTTTTTGTTGGAATAAAGTTTCATTCACAGAATTTTGTTAGGGGGCTCCCAAAGCGTACATAGATTCAGGCTAGTAGGCCTTAGTGAATGTCTCCTGGTTCACCAAGTAGGTGCCCTACCATCCCAACCCCAAAGAGAGCTGTTCCAGCAAAAACAGGATGACTCCCAACAGGCTGATTCTACCAAAATCCTAGGCACGCAAGCTGTACGTCTCTCATTTTTATATGGAGTAACTAATTATTGTGATTTACCGAAAAAAAGAAAAAACTAATACAATATTTCGTTTTCTCGGCATCATGGTCTAATTCCTATCAATAAGCTATCTCATAAATACAATAATTTAAAAAGAAAATTTTTAAGAGAGTATATGTTATGTATGTATTTATTATGTTTTTTATTTATTAATTTATATAAAAAATAAAAATTAATTTAAATTGTATTAATTATATAATTAACTTATTTTACATGATTTAGTGTTAAAAATAAAGTTTAATTTTATAATTTTTCATATAAATTAATAATAAAAACATGTAATATGTAATAAAAATATGTAATAAATACACTTTTAACAAAAAGACCCATTTGAAAAAAATAAAGATGTTGTCATTTAGCAAATTTTGGGTTTCAATTTCCCCTTCCCTAAATGTATACTACCGTTTAACTTTAGTTATTACATAATTTTTCTTAAGCATAATTATGAAGAAATTTATTTCTAGAATCCTTTTAGAAATCATAAATACCTCTCCTTTTAAAGAGAAGGCCTTCGCTAATAAGGAATAAAATTCAAACAAAATTTTCAATGTATATAAAAATAGAGAATGAATTTATTTATACATAAATTTTTCATATTATATTTATATAAAATATTAATTATTTATCTCTTTATTTTTAATAACTAAAATTTATCACAATTTTTTAAGTAAAAAAATAATTATTTTTAATAAGCATAAATAAATTTTAATAATTAAAAATAAAAAGATAAATAATTAAAATTTTATATAAATATAATATATAAAATTGATATGTAA